AATAGTAAACAATCTTACGTTGCTAAACGGTGTCATGAAATGTTCCTTTTCTGGCATTACTTCAGCATCCGTATACCAAACAAGTTTGCAGCATGTTTTAAAGATAAAATTTCTAAAGTTTTTGTGCTTGGCATTGATATTTTATATAATCGCAATTGTGGTTGTCAAATCCGGGTGGGCGAAAAAAATTTCATTTCGTGAGCCCGCGTCTTTCCGCTGACTTTGACAACCAAAATCCGCTCATGTTTTTGACCACGCGGCCGCGCGATAATAATTTATAGTAATTTGGTTGACGTTTCCCCTCCAGTTATTATAGAACTCAATGGCAGAACATGAATATATGAATATGTCCCCCCCCCCTCAATTAACGAGTCTTACTCCACTGTGTTTGATATTTGTTCAGTGAGGATGTTCTCTTGATTAAAGGAAGATTTTAGATAATTTTGTAAAGCCTCTCTGGATTTAGAAGGCGACAGGTTTAATTTTGAATACTGTCTAAGTCGTTGGATTTATTTAAAAAATCTACCCAAAGCAATGGATCGATGCTGCTTGCCGGAAATGGAAAAGACAGGAGAGGAAAAAGTTGTGTAAGGTCAATTTTCATTTAATTTAATTTAGTATCTATTATGTTTCACAATGAGAATCATAGGTAGGTGAGATATATCAGCTCAATGGCTAGCTTTCTGTATGGCAAGCCGTACATGACAAAAGTCCATTGGATACACAATATATTGTGTATCCAATTGTATATCGATTACTTTAAACGCGTAAGGTCGAGAAAGTTATACTGGCAATCCAAACATATATACCAGTGATTAAGAAAAATAATACAACACACGAGACAAATATAACATTATGCAAAACGAATACGTTTATCATCCAAATGCATATATAAGACGAGACGAATATAAACACCCGCTTCGTCTTAGGCATATGGCTAATAGCCGTATTTTAGTGCTAAAACAATGACTTATACCCAATCCTCTAGATATCTAACTGCCGTTGTCACGGTGAGGCAAATTTTATTCGCGGGCGCCATCTTGAAAGGTGGCAAAAAACATAACACGCAAAATACGGTAGTATAGTTTACATGTCAAACTGACTCAAATATATGGTTGAAAAACGTTGAAAGCAATCAATCTTAAAAGCAAACACAGGTATAACATCCTCAAGTCTAAAACAACGTTCAAGAAGCACATTTTAGCTGCAAAGCGCGTAATTTTCGATTTTTCATGGTCAAATCGTGCGCCGCGTATGGATGTACAAATCGCTTTTTGAAAGAGAGTAACATAGCTTTTCACAAATTTCCCATTGAAAATAAGGACCTCTGTAAAGATGGGTCATTGCTATGAAACGAAAAAACTTTACCCCAAACGCAAACAGCTTTCTTTGCAGCGATCATTTTTTGCACGATGATTATAACACTGAAAATGCCTATAAACGCAAGTTAAAGTCAGTGAACTCCATATATATGTATATCTGGAATGATAACGACAATACATTTTATAGATAAAAAGTTGAAGCCAAAGTCCTAGTCTCTTGCGCGGTTTGTACGTCAGTTCCAGTCCTTCAAAGTCGAATATTCACGCGGTTTGTACGTCAGTATCATTCCCTGAGTGCCAAGCATACACGGCCAATATAAATTTGAATACAAATTGCAAAAGCATAAACATATAAACAACATCACGACAAACAACACACGAGGCCAACTCTTCGCAAAAGGTTATTTTTTACAGCTGAAACTTTACTACAGTGAGTTCGTTGTAACTTACAACTTGTAACGAGGAAAAGCCAACTGAAAATTAAACTTTATGCTAAAAAGGCAATACAATAAGAAAATATGACGAGAAAATATTCAAGCAAAAAATTTTCTTTCGTCGGAAGGTAAATTTTCAAACGGTGTCAGACAGTGTTTGTCTTTTTTGTCGTTTCAATGGATTTAAAGATCTGTTTTTCCGAAGAAAAAAGAAACTTGAATATCCAGGTTCATAAAAAATGTTGAGTCTATAACTCGCATTTTACTTTTTACAGAGCGATTGTATCTTTCATCGATTTTGATAGTGCTTGAAATACTAAATGGTTGTCATCTCGATATCAGTAATTGAATATCCTTAAAGACTTTGATGTGTTTTAAAGGAAAACCGCAGCGTAAAAGCAGATCGACTAAGTTCACCTCACCCTGCTTCTCGATTTGTCCCTTTGATTCACTTTCCGTGAACCTTTTCATTCCAAAAATTTCGTTATTTTTACGCTCTGATCAAGATCCGAACTCTACCATTACCAAGGGACAAATGATTTAAAAAAATTAAAATGAACACGCGAGAGACTAGAGCCTGACGTGTGATGACGAATGATGACGACAAATATTTTTTTGGCTTCAATTTTTGGCTTCGGTTATCATTCCAGTTATTCAAATGTCGAGTTCACTGGTTAAAGTTAGACGCGATACCTTCAGCGTTCGCTTTTCCGGAGAGACTACTATCTAAAAGTCAAAAGAAAGCCTCCTGCTAGAAAGAGACAGAAACATCATCACCAAGCGCTAAAAAGCTAAAATAGATTTGCTTGAGGAAAGTCATGTTCCTTACAAGGGAACATGATCCTTTCAAATACATTCTGACATACAAAATGTCCCAAGACCACCTTGAGCTGCTGTTTGCATGCATACGTGGTAAGAATGGCTTCAACAATAATCCAGATATTGTACAATTTAAGTCCAGTCTACGAAAAATTCTTTTAAGAAATTCCATCATTGGTTCCAAGCATGCAAACTGTTTGACTTTCGAAAATGAATCTGCTGGTTCTATTTTTTCATTAAAATGGAATAAAAGAAATGCTCCAGCCTTTGAAGTAGAAGAGATGAAACCAAAGGACACACAATATGTCAGTAGTTTAGTTTCTGGATTAGAATCATGTTCACTGTCATCATACAAAGAAGCAATACTTGGATATATTGCTGGGTTTGTTGTAAAAAGATAATCAATAGAATCACCTGTACTGAATGTGCAAGAGCTCTTTTCTTAAGTCAAAAAAATCATCATCAGTTCATGATCATAATTATTCACACTTCCAAACTACTACATCTTTATCTTTAATCAGTTTGAAGAATCGTGGTGGTCTTGTTCTCCCTTCTAATGGTGTGACCAAAATAATATTTGCATCTGAAAGAGCTTTTCAAGTCCTCATTCATGAAACTCGTTCAAAAAACCAAAAAATTTCCAGCAGGAGAAACTTGAAGACTATAATGGTTCATCTTATTAACCAAGAGCTTGCAGAAAAGAGCTTGTTTCCTGAACTCAACGAGCATGATGTTGATCACGAAGCAATAACTGAAGATCTACATTCATCACAGCTTATCAAACAGATCATTGAAAAATACATCAATTTACGACTTTCGACCTATGGTAAGCGATATAATAAAGATATCCTCCACAAAAACAAAATTGGTGTTCGCCAGCAATCTACGAAGCTTGTTTTATTTCAAGGAATCTAGTCGACTTCGATGAACATCCACACCACAACCAAGGAAATGTAAATCCTAAAAAAATAATTAATAGTGGTTTATTGTAAATAGTGAAAATAAGCGCATTTTTACAACGATGCAGTCATATTGTTAATAGATCTAAAATTATGTTGTTCAGGTAAAATAATTCATATAAACCGTAAACGTTGTGTTCAAATCAAAGTTCTGGATAGCTGTTATGCGATTTTGTCGCTTTTTTTCTGTAAATATGTTTTTGGTTTACGATAAAAAAGCATAGAGAACAGCAAAGAAGATGTAAATTAATAAATACTCACGATTAGTAGTTCATACTTATGTAACTCTCAGCCTTTAGTTTATGGTCGCAAAATACACGTTAAGACCGCTCTATCTCAAGTATTTAAAAATTTTACACATTTTAACAATATTAAAGAAATTACTCACCATTTTTAATGCAACTTCAGTAGAACAGCATCATAAAAACGCTCTCAAAGTCGATTTCTCTCAGCACAGACTTAATGTTTTTATATGCCGCCATTGTGCTTTTGCCACCTTTGCAAATGGCGGCCGCGTAGAAATTTGCGTCACTCATTACTATACGAATTTGGCTGAGTCAGGTATCTAGTAGAATGGGTACTAGATCATTGGCTAAAAAGTACTGGCTGATAGCCGTCAAAGTACACGTACGCTGTACGTTCGCGCCAGGCTCCTTTGATGGTTACCGAGCACAGCCTTCGACAGGGGTCTGGTGATTAATAAACATAACCTTATCTTTTCTCTTCGCGTTGTTTCAAACAGACTAGACTATATTGCACACCAAATAGACTCTTCTGGTTCATTTTAAGCAGGATAGGAATCATGTCAAGGTAAAATAATGCTATCCATTGTGATAATTTATCAACAAGTTCATTTTCATTCTAAGATGTATTCTACTTCTATATAAATCTATTTTATAAAGCTCCTTATTTGTCTACATCGCTGTTTTATAACTTTTTCCATATCTGCTCGTTAATCTCACCTTATGGTGAGCATGCATATCTCTGTGCTATAATTTGTGCCAAATTTAGACCTACAAACCGTAGTAATGTTGTAAATATTAGGGAGTTTTAGCAAGAGTACGACTACGAGAACGAGTACGAAATTTGACCGTGTAAGAGAATGGCACGAGGAAGTTTGTTGTCGTTGTCGCTTCGTCAAAATTTAGTTTTAGCTATAAACAACAGAACGAGCCTTTTTATTGTGAAAAACACCGACGTTTGCGAAGCAGCTACGGCTCTATTTGTCAATAGTGATATCAATGACTCGGTAATACTGGTTTTGCGAGAATATAGGACTATTTAGACTGAAAAATCTTCACTATTTTAAGTTTTATGTACGATATATTTGTACTATTTTATTGTTTGTTTACCTTTCACTTTGCGTACGAAATACATGAAAGTTTTGCAGGTCATATTTTCCTTTTTAATGTACATCTGCCCTCAAAAAGGGTTCTAAATTAAAGCCTGGATGCTCGAAAATAGTACTGTAAACTAATTTCTTACAGAATGAAGAAATATACCTACTTTCTTTGCTTAAAAAGACATCGTAGTCGCGACTACGAATTTTTTACAAAACATCGTACTCAGATTGATGACGGCTACGTGTTTTTGTTGTCGCAACAATGTTTTCGCGCCAAATTGACGTAAATCGTACTCGTAGTCGTACTCGTAGGCTCTGCTAAAACTCCCTATTGTGGTTTGTTCGCATACGGATTTTCCCTATATCGCGGGAAATTATGCGGGGCTTTCCCTGAGTATTTCAATACTCAAGAAAAAGATAGTTCCACATGGTTGCAATAACGAATTAAAAATTTTCTCTTCACTCACTTTTCAGCTTTTCAAAACGGTAGAATTGTCCATCAATAGTCAGCCAAAGGAAATCATTTCAAAAGACTGCAAGTTTTACAAAATTTTCAAATAAAAAATAAAATTCATTTACTTTTTTAGTGGAATGAATGGATACCAATTATTTTGTAAAGAAGAAGCTTCTAACGATGGTGAGAATAGCTACGTACACAAAGTTGTCTCTATTAACATTATGCACATTTTATTCTTTTTTTAGACTCCTTAAAGTCTTTGTCATTTCACGCTAGAAATGTTGAATTGGGACAACGATGGCGCTGCCTGGATAAAAGCCAACGAGAAGGCTATATAAATAGGGCAAAGACAGATTGCTCTGTTTTAGACCACGAAACGCGCAAGAAACGGGAGTTGAAAAAATTTTGAAGAAGGTATGTTGATTGGGTCAAAATAAGCGCACAAAATTATTTTGTGATCAGTTCAATTTTATTAATGCTATCGGTGCCATTGTTTAGTTGGATGCTTTGAAAGGAATGAACATTGATTAATTTTCGGGCTGCCGTGGAATCTGGTGTTGAAGTGCATGGCTCAAAGTCTGCCTTACAATATTGCAAAGAAAGAGCATCCCGCTTCATTTTATGCTTTTGTAAACAGCTCTGGAGGTTTGTGGTCCTTACTATACATCATGCCCGTGAGGAAATACATTTTCTTCTCAGGACAACCGAGAACTTGTGATTTTGTTTCTTATTTAATATTTTAATCTAATACAAACTTTTGGTTGTAGCAATTGAGTCAAACGACAACGTTGAAACTGTTACCGATAATCGCATGGCAAGATTGAAACAGAAGAGGAAATCTTTGCGTGATATCTTAAATCAGAAATACTGTAAGTATGATTATGTAACTAATTGTAAAACTTTTAGATAGAATATGAAAAGGTTGTTCTTGGTCAATATTTCTTGAAATAAGTACAATTACTTCTGCACGAAATTTTGTAATATTTGAAGCAATGATTAGTGAAAGAGGTTGCACACAATCCTGCAGCAATTTCAGTAACAATAGCTTATACTAGTTTCAAAAAAAAAACATTCTAGGTGAAGCAACTGGAATGGACAAAGCAAAAGTGCCATACACTTCTCTTTTGAAAGGGGATTTCAAATATGTAGTATGCGGAATTCCAGAACACGCATCATTACGGGACCATCGACTATGGGAGAAGCAGCATTGGATTTATTTATTGAAAAATCAAATGAGCTTACGTTTGTGGAAAGGGAGATAGTGGAAGGAAATAATGTTCTTCATGCAGAAAATGTTGAGGAATGTGACAAAGAGCAAGACAATGGCGGCCACATCAAGAAGTTGTTGAAGTTAGCGGTGAGAATGATGATAATAGTCATGGCGAACTTGTTAACAACATTTCCGACGAATATGATGATGGCCATGGACAAAGAACTGATAATGTTGATAATGGTTGTGAAAATGGTGATGTTCCCGGTGATAGAAGATGTTGTAAATAATGGTGGCTATTACCCATGTATATAAAACATCCATTTTCACCATATACTACATTGTATAACTAATAAAAAGTTTTTTTCAACGCATTTATTATCCAGCGTACGTACGTTGGACGGCTATTACCCATGTATATATAACATCCATTTTCACCATATACTACATTGTATAACTAATAAAAGTTTTTTCAACGCATTTATTATCCAGCGTACGTACGTTGGACGGCTATTACCATGTATATATAACATCCATTTTCACCATATACTACATTGTATAACTAATAAAAAGTTTTTTTCAACGCATTTATTATCCAGCGTACGTACGTTGGACGGCTATTACCCATGTATATATAACATCCATTTTCACCATATACTACATTGTATAACTAATAAAAGTTTTTCAACGCATTTATTATCCAGCGTACGTATGTTGGGCGGCTATTACCCATGTATATATAACATCCATTTTCACCATATACTACATTGTATAACTAATAAAAGTTTTTCAACGCATTTATTATCCAGCGTACGTACGTTGGGCGGCTATTACCCATGTATATATAACATCCATTTTCACCATATACTACATTGTATAACTAATAAAAGTTTTTTCAACGCATTTATTATCCAGCGTACGTATGTTGGGCGGCTATTACCCATGTATATATAACATCCATTTTCACCATATACTACATTGTATAACTAATAAAAGTTTTTTCAGCGCATTTATTATCCAGCGTACGTACGTTGGACGGCTATTACCCATGTATATATAACATCCATTTTCACCTTATACTACATTGTATAACTAATAAAAGTTTTTTCAACGCATTTATTATCCAGCGTACGTACGTTGGGCGGTTATTACCATGTATATATAACATCCATTTTCACCATATACTACATTGTATAACTACCAAAAGTTACATATGACAGTTCAACAAGTATTTATTAACAAATTGTTTTTCAACGCATTTATTATCCAGCGTACGTACGTTGGGCGGCTATTACCATGTATATATAACATCCATTTTCACCATATACTACATTGTATAACTACCAAAAAGTTACATATGACAGTTCAACAAGTATTTACTTAACAAATTGTTTTTTGCAACGCATTTATTATCCAGCGTACGTACGTTGGGCGGCTATTACCCATGTATATATAACATCCATTTTCACCATATACTACATTGTATTGTATAACTACCAAAAAGTTACATACGACAGTTCAACAAGTATTTATTTAACAAAAAGTTTTTTTCAACGCATTTATTATCCAGCGTACGTACGTTGGGCGGCTATTACACATGATTTCGTAACAACTTTTCAAGTGCCCTTTACGTAAATTGATTTTCTAATTAAAGGATTTTCAAGAGCTTGAAGTGCCTGCACAACCCTGTTATACATCATCGCTGGTGTTTTCATAGTCCTCTTCACTTGTTTGATCGTCTTCAGAATCCACTTGTTCATATACAACCACTTCTTGTTCGTCATCCAGAGCCGACACCAGATCACGTCTTTGTTGATGTACAAAGAAAACCCTTGTTTTAGATCTATCAACATGCTTTCAATTTGAAAGACCTTTCTGTGTAAAATATAGCTTCACCGTATTCAACATCAAGTACGTTTTCATGGTTAATAAAACTATTCAAAAAGTCAGTAATCTTGCTGTGCTGTTGAAAGTAGTGACTCCACGTATTTTCCATTTCTGACTTCAACAGGATTTGCTCTTCCTTGGATCGGTCAAGCAAATGGCATAAATCTATAGCCTTCCGTTTAACAGTAAATGGAACTGAACAATCTTCATCAGTAGGTGCAGCTAGATATTCACACCAAAAATCATTGTCAGGATCTTTGACAGCATCAAATGTTAATGCGGTATGTGAATGATTAGAATGTGATTCTTTTGCCTCGTTATAAGCTGCGATATCTTTATTGACATCCTTTGTTACTCGAGTAATTTGCTTCGAAAGTCTGGATGCCAACGCTTGACCATCTGAAAAACAGAACAAACATACAGAGAACATTACAAAGAAGGCAACATGTAAAGTAATTTACAAACATTGCAAGTGGTATGGAACATTTATGAGATACGTAGAGTTACCACAGTATTTAGACTTAAGATTTAGGAGAAACCATCTTTCAACAACATTTTTCCTCATTCGAGACAAAACACGTTTTTCTTTCCTAGACGCAACCTCGCGTTTTGCATTTTCGTACTCTGAGTCAGTATTTTGCCAGCGTGCAGAAATTGAGTTTTCCCTTTCCATGATCTTCAACTGCTCGTCAATTCTAAACAGTAAATACCAAATCATTACAAATATAAGGCACGGTCAGATAAGCACCTGCAAGTTGCATATACATCTCTACTTGTACGTACGTATAAAACAAGAAATAATTTTTATTCGATATTCCAACTTATTATTCACAATGTTACGACGTACATTCATAGCTTCAAAATTTTCCCAGTTCATTTTTCTAAATTCACACTGTTTAAGACTTTAATATCTCTAGAAACAAGTTCAACTTTTCGAACATACTTTTCATCTGATTAAATCGAACAGTCAGTTCACTTGGATCAGTGCAACCATTCCATCGATGGTAAAGATCAGCGTACAAGTCCAGGTATATAACGTACTTGCATTTCCAATCTTCTTCTTCTGTAAGTTGTTGAAGATTTACGTATATTTGTTAAAAAAAGTTTTCTGTGGGTAAAACATTTCCACATAATGAGCATCAATAATTATGTGTCAAATCTGTTCCATAGCTACAAGCCATTGTTTCTCAATTACTAACCAGTCTCAACTTCACGACCAAAAAAAGTCGATTCGTCCTTCATCCACTCACGAATATCATCTATTGAAATCCTGTGAGCTTTAGATAATGAAAAAAAGAAAATTTACTGCTTTCATGTGAGTCGTAAATAGTTCATATCCAAAATCGGAGTCAAATATAACCACACAGCAAATACAAACATATACTCACACGGAAAGCACCTGCATAACTTTTCAATATCTGATTTTGCAGTTTCTTCCACGTCAACAGCTCGCTTCATCCTTGCCATCAGCAAATTGCCTCAAAAAACAAAATTTAATTCATACCTGCTATTACATAATATGATGACATGTTAGCTATGTATATGTTCAAACAAAGAAACAAAACTAGTTATACCTAAATTAATCTTCGTTTTCTTTCCATAATGTAAAAGAGCATCACTGAGTACATCAACTCTGTGACTTGGACGCATTTCTTTAGTCATTCTGCTAAATTTGCGAATGTAAGCCCACAATCTCTCCAACATCTCACCGTCAGTTAGGCCAAATCCTTCTTTACGACGGGGACTAAATTTAACCTTTACAAGAAAGATTTAGCAAACAATTATTGATTTTTATCATTTTATCATCTACAATACCATTAGTTATGACAGCATAAAACCCAGGTATCACCATCTGTTAATACGTATGAAAAATAAAACAATAACAACTAACTTGGCATCGTCCAACATGCCCATAGCAGTGAAAATTGGAATTGAAAATTGAAAAATGTCAATAATTGGATCCTCCAAATTCTTTTATAAAAACAAAATAAAGAAAAACATGTGAAAGACTACCTTTTCAAAGAAAAAAGTGTTGAGGAAAGTTATTGACTAAGGAAACAGTTAACAAAGCAACTATTGTCAATTGAATATTACCTGTAAGTGTTTCACCAACATGCATGCAACATCATACAATATGTTTATTTTGAGTGCAGGTTTATCAGCATTATCTTTCTCTAATTCTTGGAGAACATAAACTGCATAGCTCAATCTATAAAATATGTAGAATATTTTTTTAAATAATGCAACCACATGTATGCAAAAAGCTTCAGCACTTGCACAAAGCAATGAAAGTAGCAAACCAACTGAAAAAATAAATTTACACCATCAAATGCAAGCATCTTAACCACCTCTTTCAAACCAAGAACATTTAGGTAAAAATAGAGAAAATGTGTGTAACAGACCTCTCTCCATGTTTCAAATTTAAGAATTTTTAGGAAACTCATGTCGACAGCCTCGCCCAAAGATTGCTGTTTCATCAAGAGCTCTGTAGCGATTCATTGATCGAACAGCATTCCCAGCAAGAAAACCATGACACTCCTATAAGTATCAATATGTAACAAACAAAAAAGTATACAAGAGCTTTATTTCCTAAAGCCCATGGCACAAATTTATTGAAAATAAAAACTATGTGGTAGAGAATGTAAAAAAATCAAATATATTCAAAGCACTGTAACTTCCATGCCTGAATTTTCATTAGAATAACAAAGTTTATTAAAGCTACATTGACCTTGTTTGATGTAGAGGTTTTCCAATACTCTGCCCAGCTTTTTTCCTTCATCCAATAAAAAGAGCATCAAGAGACTCAAAGATCACACCATCAGTCTTCAATAAAATGGTGAAGGATAAAATCATGCAATGTATTTGAGTTCAATGATGCAAATGATGCAGTCAAAAAGGTGTTTAAGATAGCATTGCTAATGTTCTTTTTACTAAATTGTCATTGTTAAATGAGTAATACAAATATACTCACTTTGGGACAAGCAGCACAGATATTTCCTTCATCAAGCTCAGGAATAACACAGCTCAACATGTTTAGTTTATGCAAAGAAAGCAATTATGCACTCTTAAACAAATGACATAAACAAAATACAGTGCAATACAGTAATACTAGAGAAAAAATCCTTTCCCATCATAAACTTTAGCATTTTGATTTCCTCCAATTAAATACATCTCTTAAGATGAGATTCTTAGGCTATAAAATTGACTGCAACTTTCCCAGCAATTCATACGTAGTACAGCAGTGCAATAAATCAGTGACCTACATGCAATTACCTGTATTCTTCAAAAGCATCTATAATGACAGGATACATTTTTGGTGTTGCATAAGAAGAAAATATGTGGTTATGATTAAACTCTTCAAATGACTGACAAATGCTTTTTATTGATGCCTGGCATTCCATCTGCACAGAATGAACCAATTCAAAAAACTCAATTGCAAATGCAATTCTTGGTTTTGTAGGTGTTCCACCCCAAAGGCCAAATTGCAGGAGTTGAACAAACTCGGAAGAGCATGAGCAAAACTGTACCTCAACAGTACAAAAGGTGCCTAAAAATTGAAAAAGATCCAAAATTATAATTGTGTTGAACCATCCCAGCTAAAATGAAGAAACTTTTACAGCACATTTTACATATAACATACCTTTAACATCAACAACAGAAACACTTCTTTTGTGACGAGCTGTTTGGCATGAACAATCATACACCAGCATGTTCATGAGTTTATATGGCCAAAACATGCCATCCTACAAAGCAATGAATAACCTCGTAGAAATTAGTTGTAATCAATCCCCTTTCTTGCATTCATAAAAAATATTAGATTAGTGCTTCGTAGCATGTTTCACAATGTAAACTCTCATTTTATTTTTGCATTTTTTATTGCAAGTGTTGAGAGAGTTAACTGTAAACACTTTTATAATATCTAGCTCATAAAGGCTACCTTAAATATTTCAACATGATGACAAATATTTACGGTTGTGTGCATCTTTAACATACAGTTCTCACAGTACTTTGCCATTGGACCACAATCGCTGCACCTAAACTTTGCTTTATTATCACAATGAATACACTTCAGATTGCTCCAATTTTGCCAGCAAACTGAAATGTATTCTTTATAACTAAATGTCGCAAATTTTCCAATGCTTTTTGTTTTCTTTCAACTTTCTGGTAATAAGAAGCTGATTCTTCACAATCATGGTGAACATCACTTTCAAGATCACTGTTATCTTGTTCCATTCCCAGTTCATGGCCTTCCAATGCACCACAATTATCAGGACTGTTAATAGAACAGCTTCCTCTATGATCCTCAGTAACCAATTCTGACAAATCCACCTCCTCTCTCTCAACATGGCCATCCTCATCATGATATGTGACAGCTACAGTTGCTTTAAACCTTTTATTTGTCCTACAAAAATTATCATAAAAATCTATAAAATGATAATAAATGTTGAAAAGTCTAACAGCTATAAGGCCGTTATTTGGTGTACCTTGGCATCTTTTAAAATTACCAGGAAGAAAATCACAAGTGAGAAAATATTATCGATATTACCAATGACACAATAACATAAGTTAATCGACCAAAGTACAACGTACGTATCTTCCACGACTACCAGCCGACGTTTTGTACCCGTACTTTACCGGCTATTAGGGAGTTTTAGCAGAGCCTACGAGTACGACTACGAGTACGACTTACGTCATTTTGGCGCGAAAACATTGTTGCGACAACAAAAACACGTAGCCGTCATCAATCTGAGTACGATGTTTTGTAAAAAATTCGTAGTCGCGACTACGATGTCTTTTTAAGCAAAGAAAGTAGGTATATGTCTTCATTCTGTATGAAATTAGTTTACAGTACTATTTTCGAGCATCCAGGCTTTAATTAGAACCCTTTTTGAGCGCAGGTGTTCATTAAAAAGGAAAATATGACCTGCAAAACTTTCATGTATTTCGTACGCAAAGTGAAAGGTAAACAAACAATAAAATAGTACAAATATATCGTACATAAAACTTAAAATAGTGAAGATTTTTCAGTCTAAAGAGTCCTATATTCTCGCAAAACCAGTATTATCGATTCTTTGATATCATTATTGACAAATAGAGCCGTAGCTGCTTCGCAAACGTCGGTGTTTTACACAATAAAAAGGCTCGTTCTGTTGTTTACAACTAAAGCAAAATTTTGACGAAGCGATAACGACAACAACCTTCCTCGTGCCATTCCCTTACATGGTCAAATTTCGTACTCGTTCTCGTAGTCGTACTCTTGCTAAAACTCCCTAATAGCCACGTCTCACAAGACGAATGGGGTGATATAAATCGAGATGTTTGCCTGTATTTGTGGTCAGCGGTTTGCTATTTCACGTGCCACTTTGTTTTATTTCGCACGGCGGCTATTCTGTATTTTTCGTCTGGTTTTCTTGCTTTTCAAAGATGCAACATTCTCTCGCAAATACAAATAGTAATAGCGTAATAAGAGAGTTATTAAGCAGGGTTTCAGAGCTTTCTCACGCTATTTCGCCGCAAAACGCTGAAGTTAATACCATATTCGACCGGAGACAAAATCAAGGAATGGAAGTCTCCCATTCACCGTCGAGGCAAAATACTTTTCCAATCCGTAGAATTAATGGTGGCGTTACCACTACAGCGTTTGGTGCAAGACGTTTTATTCCTGCAGCGAGACCGCCACCGCGAAGGAGCAGAACTGTAAACAGAAGCAAAATTCAAGGTAGAGACAACCGACCTTTCTTACTGGACTTGATACTATTGAGTGAGCCAAATGAAGATGTGGTACCACGGCAAGGATCACGGCTTTTGTAAAATGGAAAATGGCCACATCTTAACTGGTTGTAGTTTCACTAAAGGCCTATCAGCTGCAGCAGTTGAGATCAGAATAATTGAAGCATTTGATGGAAAATACCCTCAAATGTGGAGATTGAGATTTTGATCTCAATCCACAACAGTTTAGTGGCCCCATCGTTAGCAACTGGGCAACCTCTTGATGGGTGATGCTTCACAGAATTTTCAAACAGAAACCTGTCTATGTACGTCCATGCTGCATGTTGCTGAATACAAAATCCTCAAAGCAATCCTGACAGGTATTTTCAAGGGCTCTAGGAGGGAATAAAAGGAAGTTATATGTTATGTTTAAGGTTCTGTTCGCTGAATGATTTTAAATATTTAATGCAAAATGTTCGCAAAATGCACAATCACTGGTATATATGTTTGGATTGCCAGTATAACTTTCTCGACCTTACGCGTTTAAAGTAATCGTATATACAACTGGATACACAATATATTCTTCTCGATGGACTTTTGTCATGTACGGCTTGCCATACAGAAAGGTAGGCATTGAGCTGATATATCTCACCTACCTATGATTCTAATTGTGAAACATAATAGATACTAAATTAAATTAAATGAAAATTGACCTTACACAACTTTTTCCTCTCCTGTCTTTTCCATTTCTGGCAAGCAGCATCGATCCGTTGCTTTGGGTAGTTTTTGTAAATAAATCCAACGACTTAGACAGTATTAAAAATTAAACCTGCCGTCTTCTAAATCCAGAGAGGCTTTACAAAATCATCTAAAATCTTCCTTTAATCAAGAGGACATCCTCACTGAACAAATATCAAACACAGTGTCGTAACAGACTCGTTAATTGGGGCACATATTCATATATTCATGTTCTGCTGCATGTCATGCATATATGAATTTGTGCTCCTCAAATAAACAATTCTGATACGCCAATAATCAAAGAACTAAAAGCAAGATAAATCTACAATAATCTCCATCCAAAAGGACCAAAAATGCAAATACATTCACAATATTTTCTATCGAAATGACCCAGAGTCCCATGTACACATTTACCTCCCATCAAACAAAAGTATACATTCAATACTATTGTGCAATGCAAAAAAAAATACTTCGGAATATTCATTTAAAAGGACTAAAAACAGTCAACATTTGTGAAAGTTCATTTAGATTAATTGATAACTTTGTTTGTCTGGATCATTATTTTTATATTAACTCAGAGAGTGATCTTGGTGCTGAACAAAGTTATGAGACTGAGACAGAAGAGATAATCACATCTAGTGACATGGATGTTGACTCTGAACCAGAGTAGCCAAGATTATTTAAAAAGTAACAATTTTTGAATGAGAACTGTAATTTATCAATCACCATGACAATGTTAAAATAGTGGTGATTGTTAAATAAATCAAAGTTAAACAGCTTATTTAATCAGTCACTACCTTGATGACACAAAAAGTGTGCCAGTATGTAATTGTATTTATTGATAGCTACTATTGCATTTCATAAATTGAGTATTTTTCTTTTGTAGAGTGCTCAACAAGGACACCAACCTAAGAACAGAGAAATAATTCATCGTGTTCTTCACCCAACTGTTTGCACTTTTTAAATTCTGCCAATTTGCAAATCAGATGATGTTCTTGTTGAGATATTACAAAATGGCTCAATCACTGGTATATATGTTTGGATTCCCAGTATAACTTTCTCGACCGCATGTATACGCGTTTAAAGTAATCGTATATACAACTGGATACACAATATATTCTTCTCGATGGACTTTTGTCATATATGGCTTGCCATAACAAACGTATGTCAGGATTGCTATTAGCAAGAGGTTTGCGAATTCAGCAGGACAGGATTCGTGAAATGATGCGAAGAGTTGATCCACAGGGTACATTGTTTCATGCTTTGTCTCTTAGAGCAGTGCACAGACGTAAATATCATGTTACTAGCCCCTTGTCACTTTGGCATGTTGATGGCAATCACAAATTGATTAGGCGGGCTACTAAAAAGTACCTATTTTGGGGCGTTAATTAATCTCAGTTTTGCATTCAAATGTGCTAGTAGTTTCATATCTTTAGATGGAGATTTGTGACTCATGCAGGAATAGATGGCTATTCACATTGCTGGTATTTATTCGCTGTAGCACAAACAATTGAGCTGATACTGTTCTAAGTGTATTTCTATCTGGTGTATCTCAATATGGACTGCCATCCAGAGTAAGAACTGATAAAGGAGATGAAAATGTTGGTATTGCTCAATTTATGTTAAACCACCATTTGCGAGGACCCGGTCGTGGCAGTCATATTACCGGAAGAAGTGTGCACAACCAACGGATTGAGCGCTTTTGGTGAGATGTTTTTGTTGGTTGTACAAGTCTTTTTTATCATTTATTCTATCATATGGAAAGTAATGGAATATTGGATCCATCAAATGAAGAACATGTGTTTTCATTGCATTATGTGTTTTGTCCAATTATTAACAGAAATTTGGAAATTTTCCAGGAAGGTTACAATAGATCTCCCATAAGAACAGAAAGAAATCTATCACCTGAACAGCTATGGATCCAAGGATCCTGCTTAGCCAATAATTCAAACGACCATATACAGCAGGTATTTTTATGCAATAACTCATGACTTTACTTTTAGACTACACTTTACATTTTAATCATCAGACTGGATCCAAAGCTAATTGATGTATGTTCCAATTCACTAAGGTAAATCAAGAATTTCCACCCACCTTTACACAAAATTACGCATGTCATGAAACAGATCAGCAACAAGTGATTGTTCCAGAAACCAACATTCCATTGAATGAAATAGATCTTGATGAGCTGCAAAGAACCATTAATCCTTTAAGGCCTCTAATCATAATGGTGCTGACATATACATTGAGGTGCTTCAGTTTGTAAATACCAGACTGCACCAGGAAGACGAGTGACATTGTGAACTTACAAAACAACAAAAGCTACTTGACCTATTGTTGGTTGGTGTCAATCCAGATAATACAAAACAAGATATGTATGGCAAGGAAGGCTATAAATTTTTCATTATGTTGATTATTCAAACATTTTAGCAGAAAATGTTGTTTAGCACATAAATGCTGATGCACTGCCAGAACAAAATTTAATGAAACATTAACATATTCACTTTAAGTCTTTAACTATAAAAATGATATCCAAAACAAGGAATAAAAATATTTCAATTTTGTGCATCATCCATATTAGCTGTAACAATTTATGTTATTGCTGAAAGAGATGTAAAAAACTGTTCCAAGATCAAATATTGGTAAATCCTCTTGAACCAAATTGCAAAGCTCTATCTAGTTTAGCTTTCAGTTCATCAAAGTTTTCATAACATGGAAGAACTAACAAATGAAAACAAGTTCTACTTTCTTGCAGCAGATTACGATCTTTTGTTCTGTCAACTTTGAGATGCAGGATTGCACCATTTGCATGCAGTAAATCACAACCAGTCCAAAAAGACAACAGATCTTTAAGATTTGCCCCTAGGAATGGACAAGTATTAAAGTATTAATATAACTAGTACCTCAAACAGTCAAACATTTAAGTTTTTTTTTGGAGAAAGCAAAGGTCCAATTTAAAAGCAAGAAAATATTACTGACATTGATATTGTTCAAACAGATAAAGTTACTGCTGCTCCAACACATAATATATAATCAGTTGTGGTGCAAATATTAAAAAGCAAACCATATTCACACAAAAACACATACATAGACTGACTACAACCAATTACAACCTTCCCTGCATCTTTCTACCAAAACACTTACCACTAGTTGTCCCATCAATTAGATCAATGTATTGTTTCAAAACAACATTAGTTGATTACAATGAAGGCCTTCTTCAATTTCAATAATTCTTTTAAGTCGTCTTTATTAATAAGAGAAGCAGTTGATTGTGAAAAAGTTGTTGTTGAACAACATCTTTGTGTTTCTTCAGGAAATCAACCAGTCCAAACTCATTCATTCCATCAGCTAGATCTTGCAACTCTGATTTTCTACGGGTAATGACAGCATGTAACATGATTTGCTGGGCAATAACATTACGATTTGCACCAGAGAATGATGTATCTAAAATTGAAGCTTCATCTCTGTACTGAGTTAAAACATCTTTCATTGCAGTTCCATGAGCTTCATCTTTGCCAAGGTTGTTCAACTATGTCATAAAACACATTAGCTCAAACAAAATACTGAAAGGCAATGCTCAGGTGCAATAAAACTTTTCAAACCTCATTCAATGCAATCCTCAGGTCAGTGTCCGGTATATCCACAACTTCTATCCACAACTTTTGTCACATACCAAATAATCAACAACTACTTTAGAAATTCCAAATAGTGGTGATCCAGGATGTAGGAAAGAATGCGCAATCATTCTTCCAATGCACTTATAGAAGCCTGTACTTTTCAAAAGTGAGTTGGCTACAGGAACTTTATGGTCATTTTCTCCTTCAAAAACAAGAGTTTTGGGCCTTTCTTCACCATCCAGTGGAAAACCATCAAGAATCATTTTCATTACTAGGCTGAAAAATTCTCGCATAGGACCACTGCCAACTGAAGTTTCGTTTTCAAACTTTACACTGAACCGAGCACACAACTTACTACTGTGATTCTTGCAAATTCCCTAAATGTCATTGGCAAAGTCACTTGCCATGCGGTTGACATAAACTCGAAAAACTGGACTGTCACTGACTATTGTAGCATCTCGAAACTCTTCAATGACTGTCTTCTTTTGTTCTTAAATAGAAAACCAGTCAAATGATTATTGTAGTAATACAACCCAGCAAGTATTTGCTAGACTAAGCTTACCAATATCACAACTTCTGTACCTAAGTACAACATGTAAAAATCACAATATGCATGTTCAACTTTGTTCATATTGAGACCAAATTGTCCTGCAGGAGCATATTGCCAGTTAAAACAACAAGCTAAAAGTCATGCATGAAGCAAAGCATCATTTTTAACCAATCAAGAAAACTATATCAAATCATTTACAACTTGTTTTTTTTGAAAATAATTTAGATAAATGCTGTAATTATGATGCATTTATGAGTGTTTAGCAGCATGTATGTACCTATTAATTTCTTCGTACCTTCTTGCAGAAGAACTGCTGTTGCCTGTTGAAGATTTTCTGAATCTGAGTCTGTGCTATCAACAACACCATAATTAGGCATCTCCTCTTTAAGTAATATTCCTTTGCCTTTATAATTGAAGTTACATGTATAAACACATTAATTCATTCATTATCTGAAGGTAGTTATTAAAAAAATCATTGTCTTTTCACATCCGCCATTCAGCCTTAATGGAGTTTATGCTATGACCAAAATATATTGATAATCCCATACTTGGAACTTGATATAATGATGTAAGTACTTACTGTGATCCAACAATGATGAAACTGACACTTCAATGTCTCCCTCACAAACTCTTACAGCTTCTTCTTTGGCAGTATCATGAAGGTCAGGAAACATTTCATGCAGTTCAGACATTAATGGAGTTCCAGAAAAACTTGCCTGATAAAAAATTCATTCAATTTTCAAAATAAGTACGTAAGCAAAAAACAGTGTGAAATTTTCACAGTGAATGTGTAATAGGAATTAATGCAAGCTTATAGCATACATTGATCTTGACCTTCTTAAATTGTTTATGGTGATTGTCCATTCCACATTCAACTATATGATTCCTGATTGAATTCATTGGAATCTGCACTGAGCAATTTAAGCATTTCACTGTTGGTGCAATAGACATATCCTAGCAAAAACAATGTATGTTTAAGTATAACATTTCCTGTCTCATAATTTATCACTTAAATTACTCAAAGCTATGAATACAGTACCTTGTTTTCTGGAGCATCTCCTGCAGGAGCATGATCACCCATTTCCAAGGATGAGGAATCTAGATCAGCTTGAACTGGTCTAATATATGCAATTGCCTGCCCTAGGCCAGAACTATCACGAAGAAAGTGGACAGTATATCCAATATTTAGTGGAGGGGTAACAAGATACAAATCTTTGGGTGATAAACCACTCCTTAATATCTCAAAACCACCGCCTGATACCAGCCGGGCATAGATCTCTTCTAATTTTGCCTTCACTTTGGCTGCATTTGAATCTTTATCGAAAGAAATACGTTTACGCCCAAGACCAGCTTTTTGTAATTTAATTTTTTCCATTCTAGTAGGCACACAATCTTGCTCATGGTTTGCCAGACAAAAAAAATCGTGAGTCCAAGTCTCTTGTGGTTTGCAACACCGACCTTGTTGCCCCTACGAATTAGATCGACCACGTTTTGCTGGTGGATGAGAAAACATCTTTCCATTGTTAGCTCGATTATACGGTGCAAACAACCGCCTAAACTCCTGCTCTCTTATCGAACAAGATGATCTTGATGTGGAAGCTTGAGATGATGAAGCCTGATGTTGTTCTTGCAATGTGCTGTCTAGTGTTGACGATTGGACACGTTGAGCAGCTCCATGATCGGCAAGATTACCATCTTGAGCAGTAGATGAAGATCAAAGACTTGCTGATCCAGAAGAGTCTGGATTCAGTAAATTTGCTGCTCGGCGAAGTAAAGCTGTTGCCTCTCGATTTGTCATACCCCAAACCAAAAATCGTTTCTTTTGTACAGAATACTAAAGTTGCTTCGAAGGACAAAGATCGATATAGTTATTGCGTAAAAATTGCAACAGTATAATTTGATATTAACAATTTTTGGCGGTAAATAATTATAAATAAATTATAATGTGATTGAGTAAAATTTGATGTTTTGCGAGTCACGAATAATGTTACGTCATCACAATGGAATGTTCAACAACAAAATGCGTTTTAACGGAAATTGTACAGTACAAAATCCGATTATGAAATTCCAGAATAGAATATGAACAAGACAAAATGCACATTGCAAAGAACAGAATGCGCATTAGTAATTGGAAAATGTAGCTATTAATTTTGGCGGAGATCACCCTCCATACGCATGGTCCTTAAATTTTTTTTAGATGTATATATGCTCTTTGTAAAAACATACTTTACCTTTGATGCAAGAAATTTAAAAATTCTGTTGTGGAAACACCAGTACTATTATATAAAAAAGATCGAAGCAATCTTCTGGCCACTTTGCACTGAGAACTAGAGAAAGCAGTTAGCAACGCTGATTTATACATTATAGCAACAGCAATGGGGCAATCGATGTCAGCTGTTATGGGGAAGGAATCTAACGAAGAGGTCCTTGAAAAACTACAAGTTCTGCACAAATTAATGATAGACAAAATCGAAGCAACGTCCGATAAGTTGCAAAACCAAGCGAGAACAGATAAAGAAATCCCCATCGTGGCAATTGTCGATAAAGTAGAAAATACCATATCAACGTATCAACCGTTACGAGCAATGATGTGAAAAAGCTTGTTAAGGACACGTTGCACGGAAACTTCCTACCAGCGTTAGGCGACGCTATCTCGGTTGCTTTTAATTCATTAATAGGAGACGCTTCGGCAGGCGAATCGGAAAAGACAGATTTTCATGTAATGTACGCAAACAGCAGCCTGTTGCGGTTGGATTATATGTTTTACTACTACAAATTTGAGTCAAGTGGTATATCAAAGACACAAACGACGCCTTCTGTTATTATTATCAAGTCAGTGTTCTCGATGTAAACACGATAGACCCCGAGTTGTTGATATATGAATTAAAAAAAACTCTTCTTAGCACACCCAACTTGACCAGTGATCAGTTTAAAAAGGAGGTCAAATCCCTGAAAGAGGAGCTTATGGAGATAGCAAGCCTTTCAAAACTTCTGTACGAGGCAGTCCAAGAATTAACCGAAGCAAAACCGTTAAGAAAGATGATGAGCATAATGCAAAAAGATGATGATAATAGTCATGAAGAGTTATCATCAAAATATGGCGTAAAATGAATTAAATAATGGCGATTAAGCATGAGTCTTTTATTAATTTAGCTATAGATGTGTTTAAGTGTAGCAATTGATATTGCGAATAAAAAAATATTTTTTAAAACATGTAATAATTTTTGTTTATATTTTTCAATGGAATATTTTCATGGTTTCATCTGCCCATTTTTTGCATAAATTAAAATTATAGATAGTTTTCATTCTTTTATAAATGTACTTCCTCAATAAGTTACTTAAATGAATGCTGCTATTCAGGCTAGCATGCAAGAAACGCTTTGAGTCAAATTGATGTCGTGAAAGTCAAATTATTCTGAAAAGATGCAACTTTTGCTTTTTCCAGTAGCATTACTATTTGCTAATAAATGCTTAATATAATTTCCAATGTCGAACCTAATGAAGTTAAAAGGCTCAAAATAAGGCCTAGCTAAAAGTATTTTATTTTAGCTTTGCGGCATGAAAAGGGTTGATGTACAAAATCGCCTTTCAGCAAAAACAAACTTTTCATTTTTTGTGTAACTGGCTCTTTTTGGTCATTGTTCACATTGTGTTGAACTTTTACTCCATGCGTACGGTCATAAGAAAAATAAAGAGTGACATATATTGAGCTTTGTGCTATGAATGCAAGTAAATACTTGAATACTGTTAAGCTTCCGTTGCCCTTCAAAGATCAAACATTTCAATTTGAACTATAAGTAGCCATAAATCTAAGCAAAGCAATAAATTTTCATCAAATATTATTTAGTAAGAATATTTCTTGCAAATATAACTTTCTGTGTGACTGCATGTAAAAATATGATTAGTAATGTCATACAATTTGATAAAGGTTACCGGAAAAATGTAAAATTTATTACAGTTTGAATTTCATGATTCTTATTGTAAATGGATCTTAAAATATTTTTCATTGATAATTATATCTAAATCACTGCTTTATCATTTTCGAACAGTCATTGGCTTTTTTCAATTGATGAAAAATGTTGCTTTTCTATGGTTTATAGATTATAAAACACCAACGAAATTAACTTTATAAGACAGTGAGTGTTCGCTTGTGAAAATGATTAAGGAATCTCATTCATTTGCCAAATACTTCATACAATATCGGTAAATAAATTGTAGCACTTCAACAGAAAGACATACAAGTAACATATTTTTCAACGTATGTTTTGAATTGTTAAAAAAAACAAGTCATTATCTGAGTTAATTAAATAAAAATGAGACAAACAGTCGGTTCAGGAATAAGCACACCATGCAAGCTGTATACCTCCTTTCGGGCACTGACAATGCATCCTTTCGGGAACTTACTTTGTCTCAAGTGGACGGTTTCTAGGGATATCCGGATTGCGTGATGAAGGAACTGTCCAACATTAAATTTGCTACCAAACAATACATCTTTTGAGGCATGGGATCAAAGTAGAAGGTTCCTTTTTGGCATCGTGTGATGACGGAACTTTTCAATATTAGTGATTTTGTCACTTAACAAGGCATCCATTAAAGCATTAACTTTGTCTAAAGTGAACGGTTCGTTTTTGGCACGTTGAAATTTTGAATAGGTACTTCTCAGGTTTCATATCTCAGCACAGATGAGTTCTGCATAAAATTTCAAGTTTTCTTGCCTTTAATGATGTTTCATTTTATACTTTCTCTCATTAAACAAAAGTCGTCGAATATACGTTTAATGCAAAGTGTTTTGCAAAAACTTCTTCAAATTATCGTCTAGTTAATTATGTGGAAAAATAGACGAACAGTCAGTTTAGGAAATAGCCTTTCACTGTGTGCGTTCTCACACATATATGTGAGCGGTGCCATGAATATAAACTTACCTAATCTTTTTAACTAAGTAAAAGTTCCTAGTCTGTATTTTTGTAAAGGAATACAATTTCAACTCGACAGCATTGCATCCTAGTTCATTGCTGCAGAAAATTTGGCTGTGGTATTTTGGGAAAAATTTGCAGTGGTATTTTATACCTGATCAAGTGTAGAGAAGATACATCTATAAGCTAAGCTCATGAAATTTAGTCATCCGATACTCAATAGTAGACAGAGTAAAGAATACTAAATCTTTATCGTCAAACAATTTTAAATTTGAACTATAAGTAACCATACATCTTAGCAAAGCACTATATATTAAATCATATATTATTTAATGAGAATGTTTCATGCAAATATAACTTTTTGTACAAGTGCATGTGAAGATATGATTAGCAATGTAAAGAAATTTGATAACGGTTATACCTAAATTATAGCTTTTCATGTTCGAACAGTCATTGGCTTTTTCAATTGATGAAAATGTTGCTTTTCTATGGTTTATAGATTATCAAACACCAACGAAATTAACTTTATAAGATAGTGAGTGTTCGCTTGTGAAAATGATTAAGGAATCTCATTCATTTGCCAAATACTTCATACAATATCGGTAAATAAATTGTAGCACTTCAACAGAAAGACATACAAGTAACATATTTTTCAACGTATGTTTTGAATTGTTAAAAACAAGTCATTATCTGAGTTAATTAAATAAAAATGAGACAAACAGTCGGTTCAGGAATAAACACACCATGCATGCTGTATACCTCCTTTCGGGCACTGACAATGCATTCTTTCGGGCACTTACTTTGTCTCAAGTGGACGGTTTCTAGGGATATCCGGATTGCGTGATGAAGGAACGGTCCAATATTAAATTTGCTTACCAAACTAGTTATGTAAAACACACATGTCACATGATCAAGTGAATAATTATTTTAGTTTAATGCTCTTAAAGTTACACGATTTTCAAAAGTCTAGTCTTTACCCGGATTAGTTAAACATGGGAACTCCAATTAGCACACTGATCGAAGAGGAAAATAGGAAGGATGTAGTGTTTAAAGAGTTCCTCCAAATGCTTGAAAAGAATCTCATAAACAAAATTGCAGCGACTTCAGAATCGATGAAAACAGCTGCTATAGAAGACGGAGATTTACCTGTCGTGGCAATTGTAGACAAGACAGAAAAGTATTTGGTAAAATGCTCCTAAAAGGGAACAAGGATGTAACGGACGCGATTGATAACATGCTTTCGGGAGATTTTTTATCAGGCATCAAAGATACGATCACCCTTGCCGTCAAGGTGCTTCTCGGAGATAAGAGTGGTTTCACAACACAGCAAAACGGGTTTCATGTTGTATTTGCAAACAACAGTCTTTTGCGTCTTGATTATTTACTGTATAAGTATAATTTTCAATCCGAAGGGTTTCAAAATAAATGTTCCAATGCTTTTTGCTACTACATGCAAATTGGCGTCTTAAATTTGGAAAAAGTCAACGCGCAAGTTCTGCTGTATGAATTGACAAAATCCATTGGTATGAAGAATATTGCTACAGCGAAGAAGGAGCTTTCGGAAATTAGTGAGTTTGCTAAATTTTTGTTCAAAACAGTTGACAATATGGAAAATAAATTTTCAAGCAATTACTTAATGGCAGTCACAGCCAAAAAATCCAAATTACAACCCTACGTAAAAATTGATCATAGTATCACTCCAAAGGATGAAAAGAAAGAAAATTCTGATAATGACGAAGATGAAGAAGAAAAAGAAGACGAAGGATTACACCTTCCGAATTACTCTTACTGATTACACCTTCTGAATTACCACTCCTGAATTCAATAATAGAAATAATGCAATGGTGTGAGTTTACGTGTTGGAATTGCTATTCACGATTAAGCGAATAAAAAATACGTATTATTCTTTGTTTTTGTTTTCCATAGGTTTCGTGGAATAATATTTTGGTTTTGTCCGTGCATTTTCATGTTTAATGGTAAATTATAACTAGTTTTCATTCTTATACAAATAAACGTTTCAAGAAGGTACTTCAAAGAAATGCTGCTACAAGCTAGCATCTAAGAATATGTTCCAAATCAAATTGATTGCTCTTATGTGCAAACAGTTCGCTTGCTTATTTTAACGACAATAATCAAAACTAAACAATTTAAGATATTTGTAGAAACAAGATTTGCAGCTGATCAAACACATCAACTATATTTTATTTTGTAAGGTCCGAGAAAAAAGTGTAATGCGGAAAGATCGTAGTATTTTGCTCATTTAAGTTTATATAACTATATGAATAATTTTTGTGTGAATTATCAGAGCATCAAAAATGACAATACATTTGAACGCATTGTGCGAGTCAAGCCTGTCAAGGCATGGGAAATTGATACAATGAGTATTTGCTAAGTGCGTGGCTTTGCAGTGAAAGATACAACATTATTTTTTACAGACATGCAATATCTTTTGCAGGCAGATTTGAATAGAAAAGCAATGTTAAAAGTAAGGAAGTTTGAAGTGCTAAAAGCAATATCTTTAATATAAATTATGGACAAGCATTTTAATATTCTTATTTGAAGTTATTATCGAAAGGAAATGCTACCATCTTGTCAGAAAAACATTGCTGTTTACTATAAAAGCTTGTTACGTGTTATCAAAGGCAAGGGTAATAAAATGTTAGGGACATTTTTACCCTATGATATGATTGAAACAACACTCTGCCGCTGGCAATCTTTGCTATATATGCAGTTTTTCTATTTAAACCACTATTAAAATTAGCAAACATTTCAAAGTTGCTTAATATTTCCTTCGCAAAAAATAAAATTGATGTGGATTACTATTATGGAACGTTAAAAAAGATAATGATTTTAACAGTGCGTAAAGCGATGGGAAATTAATCCAATGAAATATTTGAAATATCTATTTCGAATAAGCACTTCTTAGGATTTAAATGTCAGCACAGATGAGCTCTGTATAAACTCTGTTTACATGTATATAAGTTTCCTTGCTAGATATCTTTACAGATGTCTTTACAGATGACTTTAACCGTCGATGTTTCATCGTATGTTTTATGAGATCTGCTTTTGGGAAAAAAATGGCTTATTTATGAAATAGAAAAGATTTTCCTTTTTTCTTTGCAGACAAACCATTGAGTTCTATAAGACCTAGAGGGAACATGTCATCGAAATTACTATAAATTATTAGCGCGTGGCCCGTGGTGAAAAACATGGCGGATTTTGGTTGTCAAAGTCAGCGGAAAGACGGGGGCTCATAAAATAAATTTTTCGCCCTCCCGGATTTGACAACCAAAATTGCAATTATATGAAATATCAATGCCAAGCACAAAAACGTTTAGAAATTTTATCTTTAAAACATGCTGCAAACTTGTGTGGTATACGGATGCTGAAATAATGCCAGAAAAAGAAACATTTCTTGACACCGGTAAGCAACGTAAGATTGTTTACCATTTAATTTATTTTTATCCAGTCTTATTTGTTCTTTACTTAATCGCTTGCTAGACGAGGCAAAGCAGCCAATTCTTATCGAGATATGCATATCTTAAAACTCCTTGTTTCAACTGAGTTTACTTCCAAGAAATGGAGGATTTTTTCATGATATCTTTCTGAAAATATGAAGCAAATATTAAGAACAGAGCTGTATTGAAATCAAATGCAGTGCAGGATTAATCAATGAACTCTTTGGTACATGACGTACAGTAAAAAATACCTGTATTAAACAGCTAGCCTGAACAATCATGATGATGGTGTGTAAAGGTTTGCTTTATGCTAACAGTTTCATAAATGCCATCTGGTGTTTCTGTAAATGAATTGTTTGTTATAGTAAACGGGTTAGTACATCAAAACCAAGATTAAACTACTTTATGAATGTTTTATGCAGTGCGGTGTTTGAAATTAAATGAAGATATGATCTTCGCACTTTGCTGGACAATTTAAGCAATCGTCTCAGGACCTGAAAAAATCAGGTGACTCAACGGGATTAAACTACTTTGTTCAATGATGTACCAAATCATACTCCTACCTTAAAATTTTTGCTCAAGAAAAGTTTATGACATGCATGAAACATTAAATATGGTACTGCATCATCTGACAAAATCCATACTTTTTTCAATTCCCGGTGATTAAAAATTCACATAAGATACATTGGTTGCAATGAAGTTGAATGTGGAAGAAGCAAAAATTGATGGCAAAGAACTTTTTATGTCTTATGAAGAATTACAATATTATTTAAAAGAATAAGAATAGTGATCTAGTAAAAGAAGCGACAACTGTCCTCAACACGAGACTTTTCCAATTATGTATAGTTTCTTTGTAGAAAATTCTATTTTATATAAACTTGATTTTTAAGTCATTCACTGATATCTTTACCAAAAGACAAAAAGAAAAAATTCAAAGGCAAAATGTAAAATTCAAAAGTTTGTCAAGTTGTTTGAACCTAGAAAAAATTTAAGTAACTCTAAATAATAATTTTTCTATTTTGTGATAAAGTCAACATTTTAATTTGCAAAGGAAAATGTTGTACGTGTTCAATTAAAAATGATATGGAAATTTTTAAATTATGTTTGTTTTTTACTGACAATGAATAAACAAACACATCAAAGATAAGACTTCTAACCATCTACTGTCATGAGAGGGGGTGTCTGGAATATACTGTACAGCAGTACAGTACTTGCACAGTACTGCTGTACTTGCACAGAAGTCTGCTGCATAAAAAATGAAGCTTAAACTCTGGATTGCAATATAAGGGGGAGTTGAATATTTTTGCATGGTGCCCCAAGATGTTGTGTTACGCCCGCGATCAAAAATGTTCATGTCGTTCTGCATGTAAGAAAAGTCATTATTGAAGTAAATAATAATGAAGTGAAGTGAACAAGTCATCCATCCTAAATTCTGCTCAGGTTTCCATTTACTCAAAAGAAAGTCCCAAATCGGCTGAGCCGAGCCCTGCAAAAGGACCGTAAGTTTTGAGTATTCTCGTTCTTAAATCAGGCCGACATGGCTGCCGTGTTTTAGTTATCCCTATAGCTAGCCATGCAACGCCTACAAATCATTACTAACATAAGTGCTCTCATTCTTTCCATTCTTACGCTGGTTGCTGGAGGAACGAAAACAGTTTTGAGAAAACAAACACAAATTTTAGCATTTTAAAAATTCCAAATCTATCTGCCAAAAAGGTTTATCAAAAACCTGTTTACTTTTGAAATCAGCGACATTTAGATTTTAATGATTTCATGCAATAGTTGTTTAACGTTTTGTAATGATGATGTCCACTGCTGTGCTGGAAGATTAAAGGATGGTGAAGTCCTTCATTTTAAAGACGATGGACTTAATTGATGGCATGTGATCGTAGAAAAGTCAAGTTTTGCCGTCCGTGTCAAACAGCAACTTCAGGTACTTTAACTCTCTTAAACCTTTAAACATGACTTCTTTTACCGAAAGCA